TTGTTTGCTTGATATATTTTTTTTCATCCTTTGACTTTTAGTTTGTATCTTTAAGTCTAAGGTGTGTCTCTTATAGGCAGCATATAAATGGATCGTGCTCTTTATCGATTCTGCCACTCTCTGTCTTTTTATTATTAGATTTAGTCCATTTACAGTCAGCATAACCATTGATAGGTATGAGTTTAGTGCTGTCCTTTTGATTTTTTTGTGTGTGTTTTTTTGACGGTTTCTTTGTTCCACTTAATATTCTGTGCTGAGTCGTTTTTGTTTATGTATTTTCTTTTCATCTTTTTATTGTGGTTGATTTTGTATTTACTGAGTCTTTATATTTTTCTTGTTTTTTATTTTGACATGTAGGATTGGTAGGTTCCTTTGTGGCTACCTTAATATTTACCCCTTTTTGTCTAAGTTTAAACCAGTCTTTTATTTCTTTATATTGTCTTGACTTCCTCTCCATATGAAAAATCTATGTCTACATTTTTAAGTCCCTCTTTTTTGTTTTAATGTTGTCAACTTTTACATATTGACATCTGTTTCCCTATTTTCAGTGTTCTAGCTTTGATTTATTTTTGTGACTTCCCTATCTGGGTTGATATCTTGTTGCTCTGTCCTGTGTTCTAGTCTTAGGTTGTTATCTGATGTTATTGATTTTCTAACCAGAGGACTCCCTTTAGTATATCTTGTAATTTTGCTTTGGTCTTTACAAATTCCTTAAACTTCTGTTTATCTGGAAATGCCCTAATTTTGCCATCATATTTGAGAGACAGTTTTGCTGGATAAGTAATTCTTGGATGGCAATTTTTTTCCTTCAAGGCTTTATATATGTCATCCCATTGCCTTCTGGCCTGCATGGTTTCTGCTGATTAGTCGGAGCTTAGTCTTATTGACTCTCCTTTGAAGATGACTTTTCGTTTGTCCCTAGCCACTCTTAAAATTCTCTCTTTATCTTTGGTTTTGGCAAGTTTGATTATAATATGTCTTGGTGACTCTCTTTTGTGATCTACTTTATATGGAGTTTGATGAGCATCTTGGCTAGATATCTTCCCATCTTTCATGATATCAGGGAAGTTTTCTGCCAACAAATCTTCAACAATTCTCTCTGTATTTTCTGTTATCCCTCCCTGTTCTGGTACTCCAATCACTTGTAGGTTATTCCTCTTGATAGAGTCCCACATAATTCTTAGAGTTTCTTTATTTTTTTAAATCCTTTTATCTGATTTTTCCTTAGATAACTTGGTGTCAAGTGCTTTATCTTCAGTCTCGCTAATTCTGACTTCTGCCTCAATTCTGTTCCTATGACTTTCTATTCAGCTGTCTAATTCTGAAATTTTATCGTTAATCTTCTGGATTTCTGATTGCTGTCTTTCTACGGATTCTTGCAGCCTATTAAATTTGTCATTATGCTCTTGAGTTCCTCTATTGCTTTGTCTCTGTATTCCTCGGAATTTTCTGCATTTTTCCTGATCTCTTGAAAAAGTCTGTATATTAATCTGTTGTATTTTGCCCCTAGTAATTCCAAGAAATTCTCTTCCCCTGGAAAATTTATTCATTCTTTATTTTGGGAGCTCGCTGAAGCCATCATGGTCTGCCTCTTTATGTGATTTGATATTGACTGTTGTCTCTGAGCCATCAATAAGTTATTACATTTATTTATTTTATGTTTACTTACTTTGTCCTAGCTTCTTGTTTTGTTTTGTTTTGATATGCTCAAATAGGCTGTTTTTGTGAGCTAGTTTTATTATTGGCACCTTTGAAGCTCTAACATCCTGTCACCAGGTGGTTAGATCTGTTGCTAAGTATGTAAGCCCAGGAGTCCATTTACTTTTCTTGTATGGATTCAGCTCAGGTGTCCAGGTAGTCGGTCACCAAGTGTGTGGTGCAGGCTCTCTCCTACAGTCCTAGACAGGCATGGGTGACTGGTGTAGGCACAGGTATCTGGCTGCAGTAGGGGGTCACACACTGAGCAAGGCAGGGAGCTGATGCCTGCCCCTGAGTGTCTGGGAGGAAAGCGTGTCCCTGTTCCCTAGAGAGTGTAGGTGAGTGGGTTTTGCAGCCAGACTATGAGCACCCAATGCTTTTGGCTATACGGACTGGGGGGCACCACTTATTCTTGTACCCCTGTTGTGGGTGGCTAGGTGGCGTAGATGGAGCCACCAGTCGTCAAGCCCCTGATGTGGGCAGGTGAGGAAACTGCTTAATGGACAGAGCAGTGTCAAATGTCACAAACCTGCCGCTTCACAGATGAAAAAGTTGAAGTTAAAATTTAGGTATACACCCTGTTATACTGTGGTAATGAGGGCCTATGCTATTGAAATGGGCCCACACAAGTGTACGCAGGGGCAAAAGTCATTCAAAGTCCTTGGATCCCTTATGCCTGTGCCTAGGAAAAAGAGCTGTGCCTATGCTGAGTTCCTGGCTTAGGGGATCTGGCAGATTATTATTTCCCTGTTTGTTAATTTATTCCCTCTCCAAAGCCAGGAGAATGGCTCAGGGCACGTGACGGGTCCTACTTCTGGCCCCGGGGAATCGGCAGTTGCTGATGCCAGCCCAGGACTCAGTGCAGAGTGGGTAGCAGGGAGGAAAATGGGAGAGAGGTTTCTCCCAAAGGGGGGTGTTTTTTGATCCACACAGTAGGCCAGACACAAGTAGTTATCTTTTGCCAGTTGAGTGCTGCTTTTCACTGGTTCTGGTTGCTTGAGTAGACTCTCTGCTGCTGGGCCTCTCACAACGTGGAAAACCCTCCTGAGTGCCATTGTTTGCCTCACCTCACACATGAGCCAATCCAGCCTGAAGGGTGCTGACTTCCACCAGATCAGGTCTGGCAACTCCTCGCTGCTTCTGAACTGTCTCTCCCTCCGCCGCCACTCAATCTGATTCCTCAACTTTGCTTTTGATGTTCAGGGCTCCTTGACTGTTATATACAATTGATTCACTTGTTTTTTCGTGTCTTTGTTGTAAGAGGGACCACAGGAAGCATCTGATTACTTCGCCATCTTGGCCCTGCGTCCTTCACTGCAATTTAAGACATGTGGAAAGAATTCTTCTCTGTATAATTTTAGATAATTTAGAAAAATAACTTGAGGCTTAAAATTCTTCTTTCCTGCTGTTTCTGAACTCTAGTGGAAATACAGAATCATCATATGGACTCAAATAAGAAAGTCAGTTAATTTCCTTGAATGCTAGACAAGCTTCCAGGAGGCAAGGGTGACCTCTTCTCTCCCTTGATACAGGTGTCACTATATTCCCATGTCATTTGAGTATGAAGTGCTTGGTCCTATAGGTGGCCTCTGGTGTATTAGTCAGGGTTAATGCAGGAAATAGAAATAACTCCTAGTTATTTTGGGTAGAAAATCATTTTACTCAGAATTCGATACTTAAAGCTTATCTGAAGGGTCTGGAGAAGTTGAATTCAGGGAACTACAATCAAACTTTTGGTTTCAATATCCTATCATCGCGCTTGCAATTCAGAAGTTAGGAAATAAAGGATGCTACTTCTTCCACTATGTAAAGAAATTGCCCTTAATATTGAAGCCAGTAGAATCATTGTTGATGATTAAATAAAAATCGTACAATCGAACTTGTATTAAGAGTAATCTGGTGTTTGCATTTTTTAAGGGAAAACAATCAAGTTCCTAAAGAATTTTTTTTATTAAAATATATATTCACATAGAAAAAATAACCAGGAGAATAAACACAAAGGAGTCTGTAATAATATAAAAATTTTTAAGTTCTGAAAATGAGAATTAGTCTGGCTCAGGGAGAGCATTTTCAGGGCTGTTGTAATAGTTCCAGTGAGATTATGAGTAAGAAATCTGAGCTTTTTCAGTTTCAGAGGTAGTAAGAATAGAACATCGAAAAATGCTTCAGCAGACATTATATATGTGTACATCATACATTTTCCAAGACTCAAACCTAAGAAGAAAGCATACTGACTAATTTAATTCTTTACCCCACATTGAGTTAGATCATCCCTATTAACCTAGAGTAGGCTGTCCTTCAGGGGCTTCTTAAGGTATTTTATGAAATAGATTTCTAAAAATGAAGAGCTGGTAGCAGAGGAGGGCCTCAGATATCTTCAGAGTTGGCTGGGCCAGGTTCACCTGCAGAGATACTTCAGAAGGGGCCTGTTGGTCAGGCTTGGATCACAGGGCAACAGAAGCTTTTTCACCACCAGCATCACTGAGTTCAACCTTTAGTGTGTTTGTAGAGCATGAAGACCATATTTCTGAGATGAAGAAATCTTGGGTGGCACACTACTATTCATTTTCCATTCAAAGATTTTCAGTAGTGTCCACAGATATTAATTCCAAAGACTGCATTCAAAGAGCAGAGAACTTATTTGAAAATATTTGTATTTACAGATGCAGATAATGGTGAGTGGAGCAAGTATAAAGCAAATATGTCTTACTAAATATTCCTACCCTAATGAATCCACATTTATTTTTTACACTAAAATTTTCTGAAAATGACACAATGAAATCTGTGACTCTAGATACTATGAATATAAACTGAAATTTACTTAATACATTGTCTTTTCATCTGCAGGAGAGGTCCTCACTATATACGGTTTATTATTAAAATCAGATTTTGTTCAAATCAGATTTGTTCAGGACCACCAGTGTGTTCTAGCCATCAGTTTTCTCATGGCCTCTTTAACATTCTTATTCCTCAGACTATAAATAAGGGGATTCAACATAGGGATCACAACCGTGTAAAACACAGACACCACCTTGTTCTGTTCAGTCGAGGAGCTGGACTGGGGCACCACATAAATGAATGTAATGGTCCCAAAGAACAGAGTGACTGCAGTAAGGTAGGAGGTACAGGTGGAGAAGACCTGGTGGCGGCCCTCAGTGGAGCACATCTTCAGGATGGTAATGAGGATGTAGACATAGGAGACGGCTATGATAAACACTGTGACCACAATGATGGAGCCAGAAGAGATGGCTGGAATGATGTTAGAAGTAAAATCATGAGAACAAGAAAGCTTCGAAAGTGGTGAATAGTCACAGAAAAAGTGATTGACTTTATTTGGCCCACAGAAGGACAGACTTAATAAACAGCCAGTAAATATCCAACCATTCACACACCCACCTAGGAAGGATGTCCCCACTAAGAGAATACAGATTCTGGGGGACATGTGGGTGGAATAAAGCAGGGGTGAGCAGATGGCCACATAGCGATCATAGGCCATGGAAGCCAGCAGGAAGGACTCAGTTTTCCCAAATGTGACCACAGAACAGAGTTGAACTACACAGCCAGCAACAGGAAGAGAAGTTTCCTCCTTTAATAAGCCCATGAGCATGACAGGAGTGACTGATGAGGAGTATCCAATGTCTGCAAAGGCCAAATGGCAGAGAAAAAGGTACATTGGGGTATGAAGTTAAGGGCTGCCTCTGATTAACATGATTATGCTGATGTTGCCAATTACAGTGACAACATAGATTCCGAGAAACACAACAAATAAAATGATGCAAACTGTAGGATCCTCTGTTAACCCCAAAATAATGAACACTGTCACGGTTGTGTAGTTTCCAGTTGCCATCTATAGTGGTTGGGAATGGTGCTCACTGAAAGCAAAACAAGTGGAGATTAGAATGGAAAGAAATTGTTTAATTTGGATACTTATTTTTACTACAGATAAGTATTAAAAATTACAACATAGACAATTGTGTTTAAATCTTTGGTTTCATAAAATGCTTTCATACAGAATCACTCATATGAGTTGAGAATACATATGTTCATTGATGTAAGGTCAAGAATACTCAGAAAAACTTTTTTTTTAACATAACACATTCAACTTATATTTGCATCATGTAGTTAGTTTAGGTCTTCCATGAGGAACAATCTTGCACATGAACATATCCCAGAGATGTTCATTAGATGATACGTGGAACCCAGTAACTGAATCTTCTTACACCAAAGACATGATTAAAGAGACACAGAAATGTTAAAATGAGTTAAGGTCCATGGAAAAGAGCTGCTGTTCAAAAGGATGTCTGAAGTATCATTTCTTATATGAAAGAGGATGTGCAGTCATTATGAATCCTTATTTCAAAGCAGAAGTCAAAGGGTGGAGCTGCATGCTAACCCAGAGGACAAAGAAAAGGTCAGTAACTCAGCCGTGGGCTTTGGTCTCCACACAAGGTCTCACAAAGGAATGCATAGCCAAGATCAAAGAAGTTTGGACAGCAGCAGGATATAGGCTAAGACGCTCAAATCATGAACAAGTAAACAGAGAGAGATGGAGATTTGTAAGAGGAGAGAGAATCATCTCAGGATCAAGCTCCCTGATTCATGATAGCAAGTGAAGCCAGTTTAAGAGGAAGCTAGACACACTGGTGAGGTTACTCCTGGAAGTTTTGGGATGCTCCCAAGATGCCAGCAGAGGGCTCCATCTTTCTACTTCCCACAGGTTTCCAGCCCCATCTGAATAGACATTGTCTGAGGAAAATCATACCTGTAGATCAGCTTCTGGAAAGTTCTTCCCCATACCAACTTGCCCAGCCCCATAGTTATTTCTAAAGCAATTGCTTCTCATGCCATCATCAAAATCCTAATTACACCATGAATGATATATTATAGAGAGAAATGTGGAATTAATGTACATAAATGATCTACTATATTCAGGACCTGTGTTAGGAATAATAACTCATGAAGTTGTTACTGATATTATTATTATTTTACAGATGAGAAAAAAAGAGACTCAAAGACATAGATAACTTGCCACCAATAATCAGCAAGTAGTGGAAACAGGATTCAACTCAGGCATATCTGGTTTCCAAACTTTTGTGCTATGCTGATGAGAGAATATCTTAGATGGTATTTAAAAATAATCATGAATGGGGACTAAACTGTGTATTATTTGTCCATTCAAATGTCTGTTAAATATGTACTGAATCCAAATTGCCAAGTTTAGTGAAACACAGGTCTCCAAGGTGAATCTGACCCTGTCCTTCTCCATATGAAAGTCTTAACCTGATTGAGGAGACAGATATTCCAAAAAAGCCACATCTTTAGGACATATATGTAAAAAGCCATGAGAGATTGTCACAGCCTGGGGATGGCTCAGAGAGACCCCTTCCTTAGTCTGGGATTTTGAGAATCAAGCTCAATCAGAGAGTGGCAAGTTCCTCTGAAACAGCCCACAGGAGTTTATCCTGAGCACAGGAGTTTCCAGGTTTCATTAATTAGTTGTAGAGGGTCAGACTGTGGACTTTAGGATTCTATATCCTTCCATAACTACATTTGTACATGGCTACCAGGGTAGTTATTTCAGTATGACAGCTTTCTCATAGACTCACAGGATGTCCAGTTTCAAAAGGCCTTCCTAATATTCCACTCCATTTCTCTCATTTTACAAAGTTAGAAACTGAGATCTGGAAAAGTAACTAGTTTTAGTTCAAGTAGTTTCCAGTAAGTGAGTTGAGACTAAAAGCCATATTCCTGGAATCCATGGCCAAAAAGTATTTTCCTTCCTCATTCATTACAGTATTTATAGAACACAAATTTCTGTAATATCTAAAGAAGATAGAATAACAGAAAGTAAACTTAGTTCATTGTATATTGAAAAATTTTGCTTTAACTAAGGTTATATATAAATAATACTCTTAAAAGGATAATTTTGCAATTCATATAAAGAAGCAAGCCCAAGGTAATGGTAAATCTGTGAGTCAGGTGATAAAGAACCTTCTTCAGTGCCCAGAACCCTGAAAATTGATGTGCCTCTATTTTTAGTTGAACAGTTATGGGTGCTTGGTAGGTGAGGAACTGGAGTTAGCTAGGATTGTCTTTTTGTAGAGCAAGAGAAAGACATTTGAAGGTAGATAAATGGTAGAAGGAGCCCTGGTGGCACAGTGGTTAAGAGCTCATCTGCTAACCAAAATGTCAGCAGTTCGAATCCACCAGCCGCTCCTTGGAAACCATATGAGACAATTCTACTCTGTCCTATAAGGTTGCTATGAGTCAGAATCGATTCAATGGCAATGGGTTTGGGTTTTTTAGTGTTTTGTTTGTTTGTTTGTTTTGGTATATGGTAGAAAGTAAAATAATTAGCCATTAAATTCAAGCTAGGCAAAGATGAAAATTTGCTGTAATTAGTCTACTGGAGGGAATGAGCTGAAAAGATAGGAGCTGGCAGTGATTACAGTTTGGGATGCTTAAAATTGAGTGTCATAGATTGAATTGTGTCTCCCAAAAAATGTCTGTCAACTTATCTAGGCCGTGATTCGCAGTACTGTGTGATTGTCCACCATTTTGCCATCTGATGTGATTTTCCTGTGTTGTAACTCCTGTCTCTATGATGTTAATGAGATGGGATTAGTGGCAGCTATGTTAATGAGGTAGTATTCAATCTAGGAGATTAAGTTGTGTCCTAAACCAATCTCTTTTGAGATAAAAAGAGAGGAGTGAGCAGAGAGACATGGAGACCTCATACCACCAATAAAGAAGCACCAGGAGCATAGCTCGTCTTTTGAACCTGGGGTCCCTGAGCTGAGAATCTCCTTGACCAGGGAAGATTGATGACAAGGACCTTCCCCTAGAGCCCACAGAGAAAGAAAGCCTTCCCCTGGAGCTGGCACATGAATTCAGACTTCTAACCTCCTAGACAGTGAGAGAATAAATTTCTCTTTTGTTAAAGCCATCCACTTGTGGAATTTCTGTTATAGCAGCATTAGATAACTAAGACATTTAAGTTATGGAGAGACTAAATTACCAACAAATGACAGTGTCTAAACTCTGACAATGGGAGTGAGTGACTATAGTAAGGAAGAAGATAAAATCTTTGGAGGAGAGGTCAAGAAACTAAGAGGCCAAGATGTTGGAAGGATCTTCTACGCAGAGATACTAAAATCATCAGGATTGTGATAGAAATACTGTTTAAGGGAAAAAGAGAATGAACCATAGCCAAAAAATAAATAAATTTTGAAGGATGAGGAGACATGAATGCAAGGAGGAGGAGACAGAAGAAGGTAAGAAGGATTGGTTAGTATTGTCTGATGACATAAAATCATTATAAGTGGTAATAGGGAGGAGAGAAGATTCTACCTACCAGCAGCCCCAGAGGTATGACTGGTAAGACAATAAACATCATCACTTCAGGAGATTCCAGAGAAAATATTGTCCTCAGATAAGAACCAAGAGTCCATTAAAAAGGACAATGCAAGGAAAGTTCAAAAGAGATGATGAGGACATTGGAGATTTGTTGGTAACTGTTAGTTCCAAAGGACACAGGGAAAGGGCTTCAGGAGTTAAATAGAAGTGAAAGCTGGACTTCTAATTCAAGAGAAGATAAGGAGACTTGAAAACAATTAGCTCTAGTTGAATTGGGATAACATTCTAAGAGAGAATAGAGAAGATCATACACTAAGAATACTGGAAATATATTATTATGTTGTGGTTAATAGCTTAATGAACAGAAGAGAGAGTGAAGGATAATCCTAAAATTGGGGATGGGGGTGATGGGGAAATGACTCACCTAATCTAGATTGATTGAACAGTTTTGAGGTAACCCCAGCATCCCACCAAGGGAGAAGCCAATCATATTGGAGAATTAAAAACCAATAAGGAGAATTTGTAGGTACAATCAAGGGTCAATTCCTAGGTGAAAAAAATCACATCCCAGTGATAGTCATTTCTGCCATTGCTGCAGGGGAAATTTCACATAAACCCAAAATTGCCAATTGTAGTCTTGGTTAATCTTTATGGAGTATACATCCTGGTTTTGACACACAGGCTGCCAAGACTTATCACCTGTGCCTACACCTGCTATTTTATATGAAGTTGCATAAAATTGTGAGAAGCAACAAGGAATCCCTTTTCTATGGCCCAGAGAATAATGGAAAATAAACTAAAGGATTTGAGTGCATGGGTTATGCAAATTATATTTTCACCAGTCCTTATAAGTAAGTGTAGCAAATTAAGAGACGGGGTTGTTGTAAGAGACATGAAAATCCGGTCACCCAGAGGGTGGGAGAAAATGGAATTTGACCAGAATAATGGTGCATGATATTCCTTTGGCTAAAATAGAGCACATCTCAGAAAGACAGGGTAGGATGAAGACGAGCAGACATTTTCTAAAATATTTAAATTTAACATGGAAAAGAGAGAAAATTCTCAAAATGAGAAATTGCTTTCTACAAAGGACAGCAAGATTCTCATGAAAATAAAAATAAAATATAGAATCCTTAGTCATAAATATGAGAAAATATTTGAGAATATGTTTTGAACCCATATTTGTAGGGTCTGGTGACTATGAGAGAGCAGTCTTTATTGGTAATAGAAGTTAGGATTGTAACATAGATAGAAAGACCAATGTCATAGATTGAATTATGTCCCACCAAAATATCTGTCAACTTGGCTGGGTCATGATTCCCAGTATTGTAT